GCCTAAAACGCAAGAAACGTTCACTCATATTTTTGTCGCTTAATAATATCCCGTTCCAGACCAAATCCAACCCTTTTTGGATGACAATATTCCATGTCGCCTTCAAGAGGATGAACCGATGAAGCAATCGACCCCCCAGACGATACGCCATTTTCACTTCAAGATCCACCCTTATCCGCTTCATCTTCACTATTTACATAGGAATCCACATAGTCAAAACTTTCATCAAAATCATCACAGTCCAAATCATCTTCCAAATCACCAGAATCAAAATAATTTTCATACTTTTGATAAAAATCATTGACAGCTTCAATCCTATTTAAAATCTCTCTTTCCTCCTTATCAAAAAATGACAAGCACTCCTGGTATTGAACAGAACCTTCATCACTTTGAAGGTCCTCCAGACACTTGTTCTTTCTTTTACGTACGGATTCCAATTCCTTTTGAAGGGTGTCAATCTGTAAGTCCCACTTATACATACGTTCATCAAAATCGTGATCCCTCAAAATCATACTATCCAATTCTTCAGTAGGAATGGGACTAAGTTTCCTAACTTTAGATCGCGAACCCATTTTTGGTTGTCTAAAATAAAACTCTATTCTATAGGATTAATCCATTACCTAAAAGACTACCTTAAATAAAGTCAGAATAATAATGGTCTATGAAAAAAGACCAAGAACATAGGAATCGAAACTAGAAACACAAGCATTCATTTACTTTTATTTTTCTTATCAATCCCATGGATCCCACCCATACGACCTGAAACGTTTCCGCGGTGGATAAAGATGATCAGACGGATGGGCCAGGGTACGCGCTCGCTTCTGATGGACGTCCGAACGCAACCGGACATAGCCCGAAAACAAACGGCCATTCTCACAAAACAGGATGCGGACGAACCCACCCGTGGGCACGTAATCTCTACGATCGAAATGGTAATCCCGCCACCGGGGAGCGCTATATCGTAAGGACATAGGACCTAGGGTTTAAACGAACCTATAAAGTGACAGAAAGATGGATAGGGAAAGAATACAATTTCTTAGAGTTGGTCTCAGAAAAGTCTCAAACCATTAATAATGGCGATTTTTAGCCAAGATTTGGTTAACTTTAACTCGATTTTTTGCACAAAATGGAACGCGCATCGAAAAGACGATTCAAATCGAGCCATTTTCACCAAAAATCGCAAAAAATCGAGCCGCTTTCGCAAAATCGTCAGATTTTGCGAAAGCTTCCCCGGTAATACTGTAGGTTAAGCCTAGAGGCTCGTTAAGCCTCCAGGCTACCGGGGAAGCTTTCACCACCCAACCCACACCCACTTCCGGACACAAATAGATTTCGCTACCAAAACTCGGCCAAAACATGACCACTCTATAGTAGCCCTCTTGCCCTCTTGGTCTCTCCTATGGAGCTTCCTAGCCCTCACCCAAAAATCCATGAGACCTCATGGGACCGTGAGACCGATACTCCACAAGACTCCAAACCTCGACCAAAACTGGACCACTCTATGACAAAACCCAAACTATAGTCTAAACCAAAACCAAAATTTAAAACCCCATTTAATAACCAGACAATAACTCCCTTATAATCGCTGAAATATATCGTATATCTTTTAATATCATCTGCTCTCTTTTACGCATATAAACAACCATTCGTTCCAAAGATTCATTGTAAAGTGTAGCAGATAGAAGATCTGCATCGGTTTGAACCCTAACCATCAAGGCAGCGCCCACACCCGAACCATATCGATCATCCGTATCATAGGCACCCGCATCCTCATCTTCCAACGAACTAAGAGCCCGAAGAGCCAATGCCATGGAACCACGAACTCCGTCCAATTCCCCGTATAAACGATAACGTTGGTTAATAAAGTTCTCAAGAACATATTCATCCCCATTATACCACATTTCAATCACCTGTTGTTCCTTATTTTTATATTGTGAAAAGTTTGCACCTAAATTTGTAAAAAACTAAAAGTTGAAAAGGGTTAGGGTTAGGGTTAGGGTTAGGGTTAGGGTTAGGGTTAGGGTTAGGGTTAGGGTTAGGGTTAGGGTTAGGGTTAGGGTTAGGGTTAGGGTTAGGGTTAGGGTTAGGGTTAGGGTTAGGGTTAGGGTTAGG